TCTTTGACCCCTCCTGGGTCCTGGCCGCAGCATGTGCCAGTCGAGGTGGGGAAAGCCCTCCTGGCCACCTGCCTTCTCACACTCTCTGCCAGGCCTTTCTCTCTGAGTCTATGCTCTTGTACTGGCTCTGGGGCCTCCGGTCCCCCCCTGCTCTTTGACCCCACTGTTCTTCCAGCATGCCCTTCTGTCTAGCACTGATCTACTAGTGCCTCTGCCTCCAAGCTCTCTGGATCAGTTCTCCCTCACCTCATCTCCCCCTGCTTCTCAGCCTGTAGGGTGTTCTCTGGGCCCTGCTCCTGTTGCCCCTCTCTCACAGCATCTGCTGAGTTGGGGACCCTCCTGGGGTCCCCTGGAACCTCCTTCATCCCCATAGTTCCTATCCTTTGCTTGAGGATGTTCCTGGGGCTGCCTCTGGTTGGGGAGTGTAACTCCCCTGGCTCTTCAGATAAATCTCACAGGGGGCAGCCCTCACCAGCCTCAGTCAGCGTCTTCCCTAGCAGTGACATGAGGCTCCCTAACTGGTGGCACCTGTTCACTTCTTAAATGGCAGGCTGCTTAATGAGGGCCAGTTTCACCTGCCAGGCTTGCTCTAGCCTGCTGACCTTCCCACTTAATTTTGCTCTGGGAGCGGGGTTCTCCCAAGGGGTTTTTCACTCAGCTGGCCGGATGTCCACAGACCAGCCTGCTGATCTCACAGTGCAGGCACAACCGGTACACTGCCACAGGTATATGCACATGTTCATGAGACCCAGTCTGTTAGTTTAAGCCACATGATCGTAGATCAGGTCCCACTTGCACAGGGGTTTGTTGGTGCCAGGAGCCACTCCAGGAACATGGGTAGGGGGAGGAGGGGTGAGCAGCTTCTGGGGGAAGGGAAGGGGGTGGCTGTACAAGGGTGGGGAGCTCAGGAACTAAAATTAGCCCAGTTGGGGCAAGGGTAAAAAGGGCAGCGCTGGGGCTGGGGCTGGGGCGAGCAGCTGGGCTTTCCCAGCCCTGGGGCTGTATTCCAAACATGCATAGACATTTATTAGGTTGGGCTAACCCATTTCTGATCTAACCTTTCTGATCAGCACTTAGATCGACCTAACTGTAGTTAGGCAACCAGGACAGCCTGTCCAAGAGCTTCTGCTGGAGTAGTACAGAGATGCGGTATCTTCATGGGCAGGCTTGGTCTGTCTTGTCCACCTGCCCCTTTGTGCCATTTAAGGGTTATAAAACTGCTATGTCAGCCCATCTCTGGCATCATTTCCCATAAATGGCACAATCTTCATAGCTGGCTGCATTACCCCTTTGTAATCCTCAGTCACAATGCTGGGATCACTGTGCTGTGGCTGTTCACAAGCTGCTGCAATGATCTTTAAGGACTGTACATATTGGAACATATAGCAGCCCTGAGGCTTGTCAGACTTAGGCCAAGCTAAGCAAGTTCTTGTGTGGTTCAAGATTATGGGGAGATCCCAAAATAGTGAAAAGTCAACTTTGACCTACTTATTCAGTTTCTGCACCAAATGTGGCTCACCAGAAACAGATGGTTGGGTAATCTGGCTTTGTAAATTGATGGCCATTTTCAAGCATAGTCTATAGTAAGAGATTTCTTTTCAAGATGCATCTCTGGACTTCTCTCCCATTGGAGCAACAAAGGTTGAAAAGTGAAATAGGAGTGGGACTGCCGCTCAAGGAGAGCAGAGTTAAGTAGAATTGTACCTAAGGTACCTCTAGGAGTTGAGGGGAAAGGGGCTGGCATACAGTGACAAGAAGAGTTAGGCTTGGCTGGGGTAGGGAGAATTAATGAGTTGCCAGCGTGTGGCAAAGAGAGAGATGGAAAAAGTTCTAAGCAAAACGAGCTTGTTTGCACTAAAAAGTATTAATAGATATTGACATAAAGATTTTAAACAGTGCTAAGAGATCCTGCAGTGTTCTTGCAGGAGTTACGCAAAGGCCTTTTGGAAATTAAGCATTTTTATTACTGCATATACTACCTTTTTGTTTGAGAAATATGACTACAATAGCAGTTCTAGGAGCTACACCTACACATGCTAGCAAAAAATGTCTTACTATTTCTGATCAGGTCACTTTTACCCGTTTGTTCCTATGGGTGTTTTGGTTTTGGGTTTGGTTGGGGTTTTTTGGTTGGTTGGTTCATTTGTTTCCCTCCAACCACTGCAGTGAAAGCTTCTTGATTCATGGTATGTTTCCAGTTCCTTAATGAGGACTATGTACATGCCAAATTCTCAATTTAAAACTGAACTAATTTTGCTTTATTTGTAGAGTAATATGCACCCAAAATAAAATTTTATTTCAGCAGAGAGAAAATAATCTAGAACTAGAGTGTTGCTATCCTATTGTTATTATTTGTAAAAATGATATATTCATTGCTAATAAATAGCCTGTTCCTTTTGCTTTTTCCATAGCAAAAGTCTATAGTTCTTTCCACAAATGCCCAGTTGAAAGGAGTGGTGTATGACTTTAGGTAGAATATAATCGGCAGGAACAAATCAATTTACAAAGATTCTGTTTTAGTACAAATATTGTTAGCAAAGAATTGGATGAGTCAAATGAGAGACTGTCTATCGGATGCTGATAAATGACATCTGTGGCAAATGCTGTGGTGATCATCACGTGACACATTTCTTTAGCAGTCTTTATTGTATTCTATACTGTATTCTTCTTTTTAGCTACTTCCCCTGGACTCCAACCACCAAAGCACCCTCTCCAGGAATTATTTAAGATTTAACATATAACCAGATCTTTTTTTAAGCCCCTAAACAAAAACTTTCCTTTCAAAACCATGTTTGGAGGACAAAACAGAGATTTAAAATGACCTCAAGTTACATGGCTAGCCATAGCCATCCTTGGGCTAGTGATATTTTATACAAAATAAAGCCTTATGTGACTCTTCCAAGAGAGAAACAATCCCTTTACCCTTTTTAAAAAAGGAGAGAAACAAGATTGTTGTGGTAATTGTGTAGGCTTTGCCCTGGTGTAATTTAAATATTTTGACCTTAAAATCACAGCATACTAATATACAGTAAGGTGATGTCAAACCAATTTTAGGATTTAAATTTTTATTCTAATATTCTTTTCATGTTGAGGGTAGAGTCATGTAACGAAATCACCTGTCTGTACATAGAAGAGATAATAGAAAGGCTTGTCAATGTAAAAGGAAAGAAAAAAAGCTAAGATCCGTCTCCTGTCCCCTCCACCTCCCGTCAAACATGGAATACTCTTCTTTTTTGTTCTTTTTTTTAAAGTACAGAATGTGTGGTGATGTTCAGGGACTTGTGGACATTTGTTTGGGATGACCTGCATAACTGTCACAATAGCTGACATAACATATAAATGAATGCTCAGTTAATCCCACTGTTGCCAATTCAATCTTTATACTAATGATAGTATATTTTGTATCACTGTGTATATTTTGTCTTTGTCTAATTTATATATTGTTACATACCATTTCCCTTTTTAGTATAGTATCTTCCTGTACAAATGTCATTAAAGCCAAGTAAAATGGCTGTCTGTGGTAGAAGGAAGCCATTAGGATGGCACATCAGCCTACAAATCGTTAGTCATTGCCTAGTGGTGACAAGAGATATGGTGATGCGTGATTGTGGTCAAGTTTTCAGTGAAACGGGAAGACCCTAAGTTTGAATTCTTGAGGACATTACCACAGAAGTTATGAAATAAAAATACTGATTCAAAATCTTATTTAGGAAACTTTTTTTAAAATGGAGGGTGTTTAATGGATGCATTTCTAACTAGCGTAAAGGGCGGGGGCAACATATATTTTTAATGATATATGTAGTTTTATCAGTCATTCTCCTGATGGTACTTGAGTTGCAGTTATATTTTCATTGAATAAGCACACAGAGGCCATCACATTTTAACAGTATGAATTCTTCAGAATATAGTATTTTGTTTGCCAGAGGCGAGTAACTAAGCTCCTAGTACATGTCTGTGTAAAACAAGTAATCTGAGACAAATGTGCAACCCCACCGAATGTGCAATGTGTCCAAGCACCATGGACTAGCCAGCCTTGCTGTGCAGCACAGGCATCCAAAAATCATTCATGAGCAATAGACATATGTTAAAATATGCTAATTTTATTATTCATTTTGAGATTTTATCGCACCTAAGTGATTCAGAAAGCATTAAAAAAACTGTATAACTGAAGGCCCACTTATCTCATTAGATTCAGGTTTTTAAAACACAGGAACTTGTTTCTCTAGAAATATTGTCTCTATTATCAGCATTCTCCATTGCTACATAAACAGAATATTTTTTTCGTTTATGCATTCCATGTATGACGTATCTGGAATTATTTATTTAGGGTAGATTGTTTTGTTGGCATTGTACCCTGGCTTGGGGTGTGTAGTGGATTTAATTTTCTTTCTCTGCCAAGACTGCTTATCCAGTGCAAGTTTGACAGATTTCTAGGTTTTTTTTTCTTTGTTAATGTCATTCTTCATTCTCTCTGCCCTACATCTAGGAACAAGGGTTGTGTATGTGCTATTTTAATGAAGAGAAATGACTCGTATATCAACTAGAATTTATATTAGAGTGCACATCAATTCAGTTGCCTATTGCTCGCTGAGCTTGCATATCCAGGGCCAAATAGTGCTCTCAATTATACCCGTGCAACCCCATTAACTTCAGCGGGTTCACACTTTGCAACTGGGCTGCTATAATGCTTCATGATATAAAACAACATATTCATCTACTGATAGAAGTCAAGCCCTAAAAATATTATTTATGAGGCTGTCTTGAGAGACATGCATATACTCATAACTAACCCTCTTTAAGACAAAGTCAGGATGGTCAACATACCATGGGTCCAGCTATTGTGTATATCAGAACTGTCAGATTCCCAGAGTAACAGCAGTAGGCGAAGAAAATCACTCTGAATCTAGAGGTATATTGTAAGCCTTGTAAGTCTTGAGCAGACTGTATTCCATAGCATTTGCCATTTAACCCTAGATTGTTCTCGTCTCATTCTCTTCTAGGAGCTGTGCCGTCAGCGCATGGCTGTAAAATCATCTGATCGGCCAGAGCCGTTGCATACATCTCGCATAAATAGTGTCTCTTCGCAGTTCAGCGATGGGCCTATTCCCAGCCCATCTGCTCGGAGCAGTACATCATCATGGTGCGAAGAACCAGTTCAGTCTAACATGGACATTTCCACTGGTCACATGATTCTGGTAAGGAAAGTTTTCTCTGTGGTATGTGAAATGTAAGTTTAAAATTATTTAATTAGTAGTTCATTACTCTATAAATAGACTGAATATATATGTAGTTAAAGGAAAATTGTCAATATACATTTAAAAGTATTCTTTAAAAAATAAGTAAGAGAAACGAAAAGAAATTTTAAAATATAATTTATTTTCCACTATTTTATCTTATCTTTTGGGCATTTAAAGTAGTTCTTTAAATTATATTCCACCTTTCCTCTTATTAATTTTGTTCAGCTAAGACAATTGAACAGAAGTGTTTCATTTTTGATCCATTTCACCTTTTTTTCTCATGTGCTAATGTGATGCCAAAATACTTGCTCTGAGAATGCTGCTGATGAATACCGATAGTAACGATACATCCACAATGTTTTTTTTTCTTGATGAGGGGGAAAATCTAAATTTGGGCTAAACGGGTTTTCCACCTTAGAAGCACTAGAGCGATTTTATGTTTGAAACTGAACAAATATATGTTGTTCATGGAATTTGGGCTAGAAAACTCTGGTTTCTTCCAAGCATTCTGGAAATGCAGCCATGTGCCTGGATTCTGGCCTGGGCCACTGCAGGGTTGGAGCAGGGAGGGGGAGAGGGGAAGTGTGGGGCATGTACTAGGGGGAGAGGGGAAGTGTGGGGCATGTACTAGAGCATGTCTTCTTGCTCAGCTGGACAGCCAAAGCTAGCTTGTCCTCTGTGCAAGGGGAGACTTACAGGGGAGGTGCAGAGTATCCTGGGATGCTGGGTGACTGTGAGTTAACTTGAATCTGGAGGGGATCTGGGACAGAATTTCAGTAAACTGGTTTTACCTAAATCAGCAAAGCCTGATACTACATACATCCAGGTTTATCTTAAACTGGTTTCACCACTTTGAAAGCAGTTTATGTGCACTAAACTTCTGTTGTGTTGCATATTTGAACTGGTTTCCAATTTATATTGGCTTACGTGTAATTTCTGTTCCTAGTCCATATGAACGGCCTTCCCAATCAATGAACTGTCACACCTTAACAAAGATCTTTAGCTGTACATGTATATATCAATGAGCAGACTCGCCAATAAGATTTCTAGGAATGGATCTCTTCTTTGTCTGCATCAGGCCAGCGTGGTGTTCTTCCCTTTCTTCTGCACTTTGTCTTATGTTATTGTTCCAAAGATAAAGCTGCTACCTGTTCAGATATTTTTCAGATGAAGCACCCTGGCCTGATGGAGTATGGAATGGAGGTCAACAAGATCCAGAATGCAAGCATGACCTTAGTCAAGTCACTGACCTCCTTCAGTCTTAGGCAGCTCTCTATAAAACTGAGTAAAAGCAGAACTTATTTGAAAACCAGATGGTGCATCTAAGCAGACTTTCCTGGATAAATACACTGCAGAAAAAGAGAACTAGGTTTTCAAGCTGCTATAGAGCAAATCCCAAGTGTACCTGGGGGATGAAAGATGGGTTAATTATGCAAAGACTCTGCCACCATAGCACCTATAGTCCAACTTTTACTTATGCAGAACCAGAAATTTTTCACTTGTTTTTATTTTTGAAGTTGTTTGGATATTTTAGTTAACCTCCCCCTACCCCAAAACACCTCAAATAAAATCCAACTCCTAAGATGCTCAGTAATGATTAATACAAGAATGCTTGTATCTAAAACACACACACACATGTAAAGCAAGATGAAGTGTAAATTACCTAGGTAAACAGCAATGTATATGTTTTAAGGCTTGTAGATAATTGTAAATGATTTTTCTCCATTTAGTTCAGAGTCAAAGATGTTATTAAAATAAATCATATGCTATACAAAGCCAAATAAAAGGGAAAGAGGCTAGTGCAATGGAACAAAAGTATCAATTGTTCTGGATCTGAGAATTTCTTCAGAATTAAACCAAGTGTGATATGGGGGAAGGGGGGAAACCCACATGTGTTTACAGCCTCTGTACAGGCTCTAAAAACAATCAAATTAGGGACACTAAAATGGTGGTTCAATGTCCATAATTCAGTCAGACCTGTTCAACCTGTAGTGAACTCATGCACATGTTAGCGATCTAACAACATATGTTATATCTTAGTTGGTGAGGGTTCAGTGAAGGGCAACTGAAATGCCACAGTGCTTTGAGAATATGACCTGCAAAGAGAGATGGACCAAATTAAACCTGTTTAACTTAAAATGAACAAACAAAACTCAGTGATTTGGAGCAGTCTTACTCTCTGCTTCTCATTAAGAAATATAAAAAAAAAAAAAGAGAGAGAAAGAAAAGAATTAATAGACATGGATGATAAAACTGGGGGGAAAACTAATGGCACAGCTGCATTTGTCCTACTATAATGGGGAGGTTAAAAGACTGGGATTGTTTGCTTATGGAGGTACTTATGCCCTAAATTCTACATTTACGTGAAAAAGTTAGGTAAGGCTTTTACAGAAAGATCAGCTTCAAGCAGCTACAGCACTGAAGCAGGTGATTGAATTGATTGGGGTTTCTTGTATTTCATGGTACTGTGCAGCCTGGAACCTGGTAGTTGACCTGATCTACATTTTGGTCAAAACTAAGTGTGCACAACCTTAATACCTTATTTGCCTGATTTTCTTTTTCTTTTTCTTTCTTGATCAATTGCAGCTTATTTTTAAGTTCAGCAGCAGGGAGAAAAACATGCAAGTGACTAGCTTTTTTTTTTTACTCTCTTTGCAAGTATATGGGGACTCTGGGCATCATTTTAGAACTCTTCAGGCACTCTGATTGATTAGTAGGGCTGTGCAAAACTTAGGGTGGTGATTCGATTTGGAGGAGATTCAGCCCGATTCAGTTGCCAAATCTCCAAATCAGAATCGAATCGGGGGACCAATTAAAAGGTCTGAATCAATTTGAAGCTCTCCGAATCTTCAGAGAGCAGGGAGGGGACCATGGTGGACCGCTGCCAGGCCCTGACCCCCACCTGCCCCAGCTCCTGGTGCTTTAAAAAAAAGCCCTGGCTCACCGGGTGCTGCTGGGCGGGGGTGGCGGGGGGGGGGGCCCCCCGCCCCCCCCCGCCCCCCCCCCGGTGGGGGGGGCTGCCC